TTGTGGGTGAGAGCACTTGGCAAGACGGGGTCTGCAGGGCCTGTGATAGAGGAGCAGCCCGTCTGTACACTGATTCTGTCACCGGTATATTCCTTAAAATGGGGGAGGGTGCAAATGTGCTGCCTGACATAGGAACAGCTTTTGTACAAGGTAATGAGTCCTCTAAGAGGAATGAGGAATAAAAGACCCCAGGCTGGGCTGTGAAGTTAACTGCCTGGTGCAGAAAGGAGCCTTGGACTCATGCAGTGAGTTTACGTAGTTTTCAATAAGCATAAATGTAAACATTTACTGTGTTTTTTGTTTTGTATGTGGTTAAATATTCACATTCTTCCCAAATTCATTTTGGTCTTAAGGTGACACCATAATACTTCTGGGTAACCAAAGCTGTCCCTGCTTGAAGTTGAAAACAGGTTCTTTTTTCTGAAATAATTCTTTGCATCTGTTCCCTGCTTTAGGACAGCAATGATGACATTGAAGATGTGTCTCTCTTTGATGCAGATGATGATGTATCCAGGAGATCAAAAAAGTCAAAAATAAGGTCAGTGGCCATAGAAGGAATTTCTTGATGAGTTCTAGACAGAAGCACAAGGAAGCAAGGACTGCCATGTGACATCAAAAATGAAATGGCAAATACCTTCTTTATTTGGTTAGAGGTGATGGAGGGTGACTTCTGGATAACTGAGAGCACCAGTTCCGGAAGCTCGATGGGAATTTGTAGGTCTGTGCCTTTGTGCTTCTGGGTGCCCTCACATTTAATACGTGTTTGTGTTCCTGTGTGCAAGGGATCTACACTGATACAATGGCTCTGTAACGGGAGGATCTCAGTGTGTTGAGTGCTGGTTCTGGGCTAGTCTGTTGTCTCCTCCCCAGTCTTTGTTCTCTGCTGTGCTTAGTGCTGCCACACTGTCTACCATGTCCTGGCGTAGCTGATCCAGCTGCCTCCTTGTCCTGCCCAAACTCCTGCCACAGAGTCCACACGCAGGTGCTGTGGTGACCTCGGCACTGTGCTGTGTGTTTCTGACCTGGAAACTGCAGAAGTCAGAAAGAAGGGCAAGTCTGCCCTGTTCAGAAATGTGATCTTTCATCCAGCTCATTCTGGTGTTTCTTCTCTCAGAACCTTTTAAAATTTACCCTGTTAAAATGGCCTTACTTTGAACACCAGCTAAAACTCCCTATCCCCTTCCACCCCAAATTCTGTCTGCAGGTGGGATATCACTGCGTGTAGAATGTGTCTTCCCTATGTTGAGCTTCTGGTCAGTTTATTTCCTGTATTTTCAGCAGTCGTTGCACACTGGGTTCATGATACGTGCTGATGACCCCTGTGAGTTGGGGGGAGATTGCCTTCACAATGTAATTTCTCTGAAATTGCTTCAAGTGCTGTCTGAAAGAGCCGTGACTGTACTGTACTTCATTCCAGGCATCCAGTGGCATCATTTTTCCACTTATTCTTTCGAGTCAGTGCGATAGCTGTCTATCTGCTCTGTGAGCTCTTAACTAGCAGCTTTATTGCCTGCATGGTGACCATTATCCTCCTCTTGTCCTGTGACTTTTGGGCTGTAAAGGTAAGTTCCTTGTACGCTTTTTGGGTTTCTTGTCTTGCTATATAAGAATAATTGAAGACAGTGATATGTCACAAAAAAAAGTAATTTCTTTGTGCCTTCCCAACAAAATGATATCCAAGATAGCTTCAAATACTGTGATGTGTTGCAAAGTGTTAATGAAATGATAACTTTTAGATCTCTGTGTACCTGACTTCATCTTGAAAGTCAGATGGAGAACAAATATTAGACTTTCTTTTAAGGTAGCACGGGCTTCATTGTCAGATCACTTTTGAATCACCAGAAATACACTTCACTTTATATTACAGTAATTTGTTATTGTACTGGACATATCAGAAGATAGATTATTGTGGGCTTAAGAGCTACGTGATCTTGTTTTCCCAAATGTGAGGCAAATGAGCACCATTGAAAATAGCAACCCAAACAGATTAATTTTGGCAAATGGTTTATTTTAGCAGAAGACATAAAGCTTATTGCATTTCTTCTATTTCAGAATGTCACAGGGCGACTGATGGTTGGCCTTCGCTGGTGGAACCAGGTGGATGATGATGGTAGGAGTCACTGGGTGTTTGAAGCCAGGAAGGTAAATGTCTTTTTTTTTTTTAATTTTCTTTTTCTTTTTGTTTTAATTGTTTCTGTTTTATGAAACCCCTGGTAATTGGCAGTTATGCTTGTGATAGTAGATTGCATGGTGTAGACATTTACTTCCAGCCATGGGTCTGTAACCACAGGCTTGTTCCCTGTGGGCTGCTGAATGAATTTTTTGATTGTTGAATTATTTAAAAATTCTCATCATGGCTTAATGTAAGTAACCTAAAAGTTCCACATAAAATGCAGGAAAGTTTCCCATGTCACGTCAGTAACCTACAAGTTTTCTGGTATGAATTTGGAACAGCCGACATAGCTTTTATCTCCTGTAAGAAACTATGGGAAGTAGGAAGAAACATATTACATTTGTCTTGGCTGTTGCTTTGCCTTTGTGTCCATGATGGCTGCTGCTACCTCTCTGGTGTCCTGTCTGTCAGGCACCTCGCAACACATCATGTTGTTACCCTTCTGATCCCTAGCTCTTACCTCTGTGTGGAGCTGGTGGCATGCAGACCTGGGGTGAGGTAAAGATAATTTCCCAGCTCACATGGGAGGTCCTCAGCAGTGTAGGCTGTCCTGGTTTGGGCTGGGACAGAGTGAACTCTCTCCCCAGCAGCTGGTGTGAGGCTGTGTTTGGGTTTGTGCTGAGGAGAAGCTGATCACACACTGATGGGCAGAGCTGCTGCCAGGACAGTCAAGGACTTCCCAGCTTCTCTGCTGTGCCCGTGTCTGCAGGGGCAGGAGAAGCTGGGAGGGAGCACAGCCCCAGTGACCAGCCCAGGATTCGACCTTAGGTTTAGGACTGAGACCCAGACTGGCCAATGGTCTGTTCCATCCCATGCATGTTATGCCTGGTATATAGATGAGGCTCTGTCCAGAAGTTCTCCCTGTCTTCCTGGATTGTTTTCCTCTCTCGGTCAGCTCTTGGACACTCGGGCTCTTATCTCTTTTCTGGGATTGCCGTTTCTGGACTTTCCCTGCTCCAGGATCATTAGCCAGGATCGGGCTGAGCCTTGATCACTGGGTGCTGAGCAGTGTAACCATGTATCGCTCATTTGTACATTTGTATATATTATCATTATTATATGATTATTTTCAATTTTATTTTAGTTTAGTTATTAAATTGTTCTTATCAACCCACATGTCTCTTTTCCCTTCACCCCTTTAGTTCTCTCCCCCATCCCCAGGGTGGGGGAGCGAGTGGCTGTTTGCTGCTCGCCAGGGTCAAACTACAACAGGGGACTTGAACCTAAACCGTTCTCTAGCTGAGTTTGTGCACTCGCTACAGCCGCATTCTTTCTCAGCACTGTGCTAGTTTAGAAAAGCTAGAACATATTCGGGGGAGAGGGGGGGAAGGTAGCCAAACTGCTGGTGATGCTGTAAATTCACCTATAAGTTGTTAACCCAGTCCAGACTTTTTAACTATTGTAGGAAGAAGTGAGTCTTTGCTTGGGATCTTCTGCTATGTAAAGGCTTTATAAAATCAACATTGTGGTGTGAATCAGACCTCTGTGTGTATAAAGACAAATTTACCCTACTTTGATGCCTAAGAGTATCAATATTTAGTTCTGCCAGTGCTAGGATTAGTGAAATTCTGGTTGTCTGTGCAGTGATTTGGAGGTAGAAAACATTACCTGTTTGGGCTTTAACTGAACCATGCAGTAAAGTCATACTTCCCAAACTGAATCTTTTAGCCCCAAGTGTTCCAAGAGGATTTGATGCTGCTGCCTTCACTGCTTCTGATAGAAAATTGACAAAAGGGCCCCTTAAATGGAAACATCTTCTGTTGCAGAAGGATCTTCATGCAATGTAGCAATCGATCTTGAAAGCAACCGGTTGTGTGGAGGCAAAAAACAGGGACTGTTTTTAATGACCATGTGGTCTATGCAGTGGAGCAGCCTGTTAATCTCCATTTCCTTTCTGTTTCTAGGTATCAGCACAAAGGAGTAAAACCTCATCAGAAGCAGAATCTCGAATTTTCTGGTTAGGTCTAATTACCTGTCCTGTGATCTGGGTGATATTTGCTTTCAGCGCTCTCTTTTCTTTCAAAGTGAAATGGCTGGTGAGTTGACTCCCTCAATGCGGTAACAGATCTTGCACGTTACAAGTAAGGCGGTGTAAATTAGTGACTTTATTTTCCTGTGTCTTAGGCAGTGGTTGTGATGGGAGTGGTGCTTCAGGGAGCCAACCTTTACGGTTATATCAGGTGTAAAGTTGGCAGTAGAAAGAACTTGACGAGCATGGCGACCAGCTATCTTGGAAAGCAGTTCTTGCGGCAGGTAAGATTTCCAGGGTTTTGGAAACCTTCCAGTCATATTTCTTTCTGTCCATAAACTTCCCTCCTGCCTAGGCACGAGAGGAAAGACTAAAAAAGTTGCTACTTTTCTGCAGTGGGACCCTTCACACCTTTTTTATTGGAGCCCCCTTAGTTAAGTCACAGAGTAACTTGCTAATTATTGGCATCAAGTTCCGTTTGCAGTGTCTTGTGAGCTCATATTATTTGCTGGTGCCATGGACAAGTGCTATAAAAGTTACTGGAATATGGTGTCATGGAAGTAAGGAACTTGGTGAAAGTGGTCAGAGGGTGAAGCAGCTTTCGATAAGCTCTGCTCTCTTGGATAGTGCATTGCTAAATGATGGCTTTCATTGCACTGCTTCCTCTTCAGGCTGTGCTACCCACAAAACCATCTGTCTGGAGAGATGCTGCCTTCAGTGCACAGCTGCATGGCTCTTACCCGAAAGGGCTGCCACTGCCTTTTATATTCTTTCTCACTTCCAGCCAGCTCTTCTCAACAGATCCTTTTCTGCCTCAGCGCTGCGTTTTCTTCCTTCTATAGGTCCCTGCAGCAGTCGGCTCAACCATCCACTTCCAGGTGACATTTAACTTCTGCTTTTCCCAGGTTTCCCAACTGCGACTGGCTGTATTACACAGACGACTCTGGGGCAGGTGGTTTGGCTGCAGCAGGTTCACAAATGTTTGCTGGAATTATTGCCATTAGTGTGATCAGAAGCTCAAACATTGATAAACCTTTCTTGGCAATCTGTGCTGGGGTTGTCCTCTTCTGTGGCTCGAGTTGTTCTGAAGGCTTGTACCTCTGCAGTGGTTAACCAAAGGCCCAGACCAGCCTCAATCTCTGGCAGAAATGAATGTCTTGCCCCAGAATTATGGCAGTGAGTCACATACTTCTCCCATACTCCTTCTTTTTTTCTTTTTTGCCTTCTGCAGACTGTGGCAAAAGAGGACCAAACAGCATCCTGAGTGTGGTGGAACCCTCCAACCAGACTGGATTCACAGTAGTGAACAACAGCAAATGTTGCTCTGACCGTGAGATTTGGGAGCTGCATACGTGAGGTGTGAATTAAAAGAAGTAAATAAATTGTGCAAGACTTCAGGTTAATGCTTTTAGCAACTTTTTCCACTAGTGGTTTGTGTTTAAATCCTTTATTTAGTTGGATTAATTAGAATTAATTTGCCTAAACTTTAAATTAAAAAATATTCTAGATGGCTCTCATACACATTTAGAACTACTGGATGAATGAACAGAAAATTGCTGGACATCCATCCAGAAAAACCATGGACAAGCCGAGCCTTCTGTTATCCAATAACTCCCCCAACTCCTCCAGGAGTTGGTGCCTCTGATCATTTCACTTGTGGACATTGCTGCATTTTGTTCTTGGAGGTCATTGCTGATTCTGTTAGGAAGTTTAGCTAGCGCTCTCTTGGCTCTGCATCTCTCTTGTGATTCGAACGGCACCAAGGTGGTTCAGGGAAGGACCCCTAAAGGAGATGTTGCTGCTGGCTTAGTGAAAAGATTATGGAAGTCTCCTGGAAACTGCAGAAAGTGACTTCTAAGTGGCTTCGGTCTTTTATTTATCTGAAACATTCTTGGAGGTCGCTGTAACATCTTAAACCCCTGGATTTATGGGAAGCACTACAGCCCTACCTGCACCTGTATGGAGAGCATAGCGAGAGTAAAGCCAGTTTCCGAGGAAGGGTGCAGGCACAATTTCAGACAGAGTGCACCTGAGAGCCCTTGTGGTCTGGCTGATGCTGTTAAAGTGATGCCATCTGGTGTCGTGTCGGTGCTGTGCAGTAGCATGCATTAGTGCCACGGGTTGTCTTCTCTGGCCAGGAGGGTGTAGGGCGTTTCCTCTCCAGCACAGGGTCACGGGGAACGGGACTGACAAGGGTTTACGTTTCTTGAATCCGTGCAGTGTGCTGTCGTTAATCCGTGCTGCCCCAGGGGTCTGCAAGCTGGAAAAAAAGCCTTCTGTAGGATCACGAAATGCTGGCTTGCAGTGTTTGCTTAGATGGCAGAAACTGGTGTGTGTTGTGTGAAAAGCCGTATGAAAGGGCTCTGTTCCTTCTTGTCATGTAATTCTGTTCAAGGCAGATTGTGCTTTTGCGGCGGCAGATATTGTAAACTTTGGATGAGGTATTTGAAATTAAGAATGGGGTTTCTTTTTGAATAATGGGTATTGTAAATTGTGGGATTGCGGTAACACAATTTCTCTCCCTGTACTGTAGCAATACTTGGGAGCTGTACATTTGTTTAACTCTTTGGATTGATACCTTCCTTTTGTAAATATGTATTTATAAAATCTTGAAATTAAAATAATGCTTTGTTTAACCGGACCGGATAGCCCTTCTGATTTACGGCTGAGCTGTATGTATATACTGTGTTCTTGTAATGTAGTTTAACAGGGGTTACTTGTCAAGTTAAATGATGTTGTTTAACGAGCTCTGGCACAGTTGCTCTCACCCAAGGGCCTTGGACAGTTTTCCCGGTGCAAATACTTTCTTCGTAAGCATCCTGGAGTCATTGCCATGCAGAGCTGAAATAATTGTCACTCTGTAAGGCTCGGCTGGAGCGGCAAAGAGGCTCCTCCCGGGGGCACTCGGAGGGTCCCTCTGCCCAGCTCCCTGGCTCGCTCCTGGCAGGTGGCAGCATCGTGTCACCACAGAGCGGGAACTTGTAGTCCCCATTTACGAGGAAGGGATGGTTTGTTTCCAAGGAATGAATGTAAACAGGCAAAATGAAGTCAACCACAGAAGTAAAGGTGCTTCTGCAGCCATGTGGGGACACACAACTGCAGCAGCTGGCCCGTACGGCATGATGGAATGGAAATCCTGTCTGCTGTGGTCCCACAGGCCCCCACTTTGCTGCTGCTGTCAGAGGGACGGCTCTGACTCCGGCACAGCTCCAGCCACGAGGCAGTTGTTTTAAAATATGTTGAAAGTTTTGGACTTAATGTTTGTTCTCCTGCTGCCAAATCTCCCTCCAAACTGCTGGAAAATGGAGAGTGCTTTTCTGGAAGTTGCAGTTTATTTAATCAAGGACAGAGGCATTTATTAGTACGTGTGTTTAAATATAGCCCTCTTTGGCTTATTTTTAGCCTCTTGGCAAACATTCAGTCTTTTGGCTTCTTTAAGCTGGCATTTTATTGTGTTTCTCTGCAACATGGATCAGAACCAAATTTCTTATCGCTGCTCCAGTTGCGTGTGAGCCTCATTTGGTTTTTACTCGCTGTCTGCTGGGGTTTCCTGTGAAGCAGGAAGTGGGAGTTGCCACAGAACCGGGGAAATTCTCTGAATGTGCTTTTTTTGAGGAGCCTGGGGAATCCACGCTCAGTGAGTTTCTTGAGCATTAGCTGTGTAATGGTGGCCACACCTAACACCTCCAGGCCTGGGTGGTGGCTGAGCTTTTCAGGGTTTATAGAAGCAGAAATACTCCAAGAGCAACAAGAATAAAACACTGTTTGCTCTGAAATAGCAAAGTACACCCTGGACTCTGTAAACACAGCTGAAAGGTGGGCTTGAAATCATCCTTGTACAGGCAGAGCCATTCTGAGTCCTTGGGGCAGTGTCTTGGGCCAGCAGCAAGTTTTCTCACAGCACTGGAGACAGAACGAGCCTTGGGGGACATTTGCTGTCTGCTTTGGGGTGCACGAGGCCTCATCCTTCCCATGTGTCCTAGGGATGAGCTGCTCTGTCTTTGGCCGCAGCGGGGTCTTGTCCCCTCCTGTGGCCACAGCCCAGCCTTGCTTTGTCCTCACACACCGTGACATGGTGCTGTGCAGCCAGCTGGGTGCTGCGGGCCCCCGGGAAGGTGCCTGGTTGCAGGGGTAGAAGCGATGCTTTTTCTGGCCCTGTGCTTTAACACAGTACCGTGATGGATCTGGGTATTCTCAAAACACAAAAGCTTTCGAGGCAGTTTTGCCCTGCCTGGTGCATCTCCCCTCTGTGCCACCCCCTGCCCCAGAGGGACGAGGAGGGGATGCTCAGTGCACACAGGCAGCCTGGCCCGGGCACTTGGAGCCTGGCTGTCTTTTCCTCCTCGAATTTCTTGGAGACTTGCTGGGCCCGGAGGGCTGCAGGGAAAGGTCTGCTGGAGCTGCTTGGCAGAGGCCACGGCCAGCCCTGCTCGCACGGGACAGCACATCCCAGCTGGTATTTCCTAAACAAAAAGCTGCAGGGAGTAATGGAGGGTGACCTTCGGGGAGACCAAAGGGAGTGGGGATGTGGGTGAGGAGAGTGGATGTTGGCTGGGACCCGGCGCTGCTTCCAGGGCTCCTAGCAGGAAGGAATTTCTTGCTTCCCTCCTGCGCTTCTGTGCAAACAGCCCCAATTTGGGAGCGGGCATCCCTTCCCACCCTGCGAACACACAGCAAACTGGGAGCCTCCCCACCACCCTGATAAAGACAGGCGAAGGGTAGAGAGGGAGGAAATGCTATTTCTGTTTTACTGATAACAGCATTTTTACACCACAGAGGACACGTGGGCCCGTCATTATCTGCCTGCGTGTGCCGAAAGCGAACAGGGTGTGTTGAATGCGATTCCAGTTCCTCCCTATCATCTTCTCTGGTGCCAGCGCGTGACCCGGGGCAGCTGGCATCAAAGATGTGCTGTGCTGGTTTCTGCTGCTCAGCCACAGGCTGCAGTGCTCAGCTGCTTGAATTTCATTTTATTTCTCGGGGGAGGCATTGCCTTTGGGTACTGCAGTGGGGACAGCCTCTTCCTCGCCTCGCAGCAGGTATGCGTGCTCCCAGCTGTGTCTTGAAGCTGCGAGAGTGGCTCTCTGGTTCAGACTGAACCCAGCAAACCCAAGTTTGTCTCAAGCCGTAGCTAATTCCGTGTGCCTTGCACTGTATGGAAATGGCAAACTCGCAGTCACGCTTCCAGGAACACCTTTTGTACCCCCACAGGTTTGTGGCTCCCTCTGTGTCACCTGATGGCTTTTGCTGCCGTTAATTTGACCGATTCCTTTCTGAGCCCATGCAGACTTCTAGTATTTGCAGTGTCCTGCGGCAGAGAGCTCCGCAGATTCCCACTGGCCCTGGAAAGATGCTTCACATCTTATTTGTGTGGAACCTGCCTCCGACTTAATTTGGTGCCCATCCGGTGAGGGAAGGGAAGGCCAGGGGTGTTCTGTGTGCACCGCCTGACACGGCAGAGAAACGCTGCGTTGAATGAGAGGTCTGAAATCCCCAGACAGACTCAGACTGCTTTTGGGGTCCTGCTGGATCAGCTCGCTGAAGGTCCAGGGTCTCCCCTCTCAAAAGCCGCCAGCTCACGCTACAGTGCCAGGAGCAGTTAGCGTCCTCCAGGACAGGGGTTAATGCTTGCCAGGATGTGTCCCAGCAAGGTCCCAGGTGTTACTGGGGGAAGGATGTCCAGGAGGACATTGTGGCTTCATGTCCAGGAGGATCTTTGTAAGGAGGTGGTTGAGCAGTTGGGCTGCAAGAGAAGATTTGGGATGTAGGGAGATGTGGGATTCCCAAATCTTCCAAGCATCTTCGTTTCTTTTCTTATCCTGGCGGGGCTGGGGATGACTCAAATGCCCTGCCAGGACTGGAGGGTGCTTTGATGCCTGGGAAGGAAAGTGAGCCAGTGCCGGGAACAAGCAAGCCTGTGCCTGGGGCACTGTTTTTAAAGCATTTGCATGTTTTGGGTTAATCCCAGTTCAGTGCCTGAGACTTTACCGGGGCAAGCAGCGCCAGGTTACACATGGTTTTGTGATGCTACTCAGAAAGGCTGGCAGGGGTTGTCCCCATTTCTCAAGAGGGGTAACAAGGAGCAAAACATATGCAAATGCACAGTGGCTGGGTGGGCCGGGGCTGAGCAGGTCCATCGCTGGGCAGGAGCTGGCCCTGGGGAGCCAGTGGGGCAGCAGGGGACAAGACAGCGTTTTTCCTACAGCAGACAGGCTGTGGCTTCCCAAGTGGGATGGCAAAGGACAGGAGGGACCCTGGGGTGCA